CATTATCATCGACATTGAGATTTAAATGATCCAAGTAACCAAAAAATAATTGTCAGACCAAAGCACCGGTATCTATCGATGTGAAATATTGTCGTTTAACCAAAGAAAAATAAAATCTTGCGATAGAAGATTGTCTGGCACGATGCGATCTGGTTTTTAAGCATGCGACTTCGACATGGTGTTTCCTCAAGACACCCGTTCACATCTCTTTTTCGCCTACAATTTCTCTCCGAAGCTTTGGTTTGAGATTGCGGGAGTCGGAAGAACTTCTAGGCTCGAGCCAAATGAATCATTGGGATTCTCTCATCCCTACTCTGGCCTCAAACAAGATCGCTCGTGGTGCTCTATTTCTCTTTGTATGCTTTCCAAGGCTCCATAAATCTTTTTATTATAATTCACAAGTGCCACTCTATTTATTTGCCATGTGGCAAAAGTCCAAAATTTTACTGTTCTGATTTTTACGGTAGCGAGAAGATTTTTTCTTTCAATTCAACAAAAAAATCACTCAGCTTCTTCTTGCAACTCCTTCTTCCCCACTATCTCAGATCTCAATTTTCCATCTCCTTTTTCAACAATACATTTTTAGATCTGCTATAAAAAAAAGCCCACGACATATACTTTTTGCAAATCCTCTCAAGGTAAGAAGATTGAAATTTTTGTTTAGATGCATCATGTCTATTTTTTAAAGTGAAATTGATTCCTAACATTGTTTTGATTGTTCTATCTCAATTTCATGTTAGAACCGGTCTACAATAGTTCGTAAACATGAACATGTTGGAAGTAATAACGACAAATAAGACTTCTCTATGGAGGAAGATCACATTCCGGCCGCCGCGAAAGAAAGCTACTCTTCCTCAACCTACTAAGAATTTCGTCATCAAACTCCATAAAGGTATCTATCTATCTACTCTCTTCTGGTCCTTATGATTCCATCGTCTCTATGTTTCTTACGTTTGGGTAATTTTACTATGCGATTGATGTTGTTGATTGATTTGGATTACTCTCTCAGTCTGGTTAGGCTGGGGAATAATCATTGATTTTTGCTTCATGTACATTCTTTTGATAACATATACGAATAGAGAACCTACATGGTTTTGAAAATTAAATATATAAAATACCCCTCTCCGTTGTCTAAAAAAAAAAAATACCCCTCTCTTTCTCATCTCTCATCTAACGAGCAATAGAGAGAGAAAAAAAAAACAGAAACAATTATTTGTTTATTTAGCCCATGCCTAAAACTAGTATCACATATCACAGGAGTGATGGTCTTATTGCCTATTGGTATCTTAATCTCTTTTTAAAATCTTTCTCTATATCAAAGAAGAGGATTAACCATTGTGGATTATTGATGGTATGGTGTGAACAATTTTACTAACCGCGTTTGGAACCATTTAAGACCTATATAGCCAAAAGTTTTATGGTATAACTATTCTATTCAAACGAAAAATGTTAAAAATTGACGGCCAGCCTTGTTTGTGTGGGACTAAACTGTTGAACTCTCTAGCACACAAACGAGAGTTGTACCAATTCACTATACAGTTTCATTCATCAAATTCGCATCATAAACTCTAAGCTACTACTCTCTTTTTTTTCCCCTTAAAATTATGTAAGCATTGACTATTTTAGAGTCTAATTTTGCGTGGTCAACACAAATTTAAGGAATTACTCATATTGGGATATTTTTTCCAAGAGTGCAAAAGTTCAAGATTTTTGTTTTTCTTATCATTTTCCTATATATATATATATTAGGGATTGTACACACACGTTACGTGGATTTAAAAATTAATATGATAAAATATGCAATAGTTTTTAATTTATTAATTATTTGTTAATTTAATATTAAAGTCATTTGGTGTTTATTGTAAACAATTATTTATGTTCGAAGACTAAACATTTGTAACAAATTATTGATACAATATTATATAAAAATATCTCTCATTAATAAAAATTTGTATATGAATTTACATAAACTTGTAGGAGACATATATTATGTGAGATAATACAAATGTAAGGTAAAGTAAAAAAAATATGATTGGCCTTTTTTTGTTTGCATCAAACATGTTCGTAAAGAAACTTATTGATCTGCATCATCTCTACAAAAATATTGAAATGCGTCTGAACGTTTATTTCGTTAAAACTTTGAATCGTAAAAAATAATAATTGTTGTTTGATTGTATTCTAGTTTTTCTTTTGATTATTTTGTTATGATTTTTATCTTTCACATTAATTCATTGGTGAAGTAAATGTTATTTTCATCATCATGATTATAGTATGAAAGGAATAATAAAAACAAAAAAGAATTTTTCTCAATCCACAAAAATTTTAATTGCAATAATTTGTTATTAAAGTTTAGAGAAAAAACTTAAAAAATTTAGATTTTTAATATAGTTTTTTGTTGGGCTCGATAAATAAAATATCTATTTTCCAAACTATTAAAATTTTATAATAACACATTTAATTTGGAATCATATTTTTTGTCAGCATCAAAAAAGAAAGAAGATAATGTCT